CCGTTTACTTTACTTTGTTGCTCGCAATTTATTTTAATTACCTAGTTCTATTTGGTTTTTGCGTTGACGTTATGGAAGATAAAACTAAAGTACCTTAATGTGTTTCATCTAGCACCCATAAAGTGCGCATTGACATGAAAAATATGCTTTCCTGGAATCAGTGATTTAACACGCGTATTGCTGATTTGATTTATATATTTAATGTAAATAGTTACTTTAATTCATGAATTTCATCGTTTTTCTTTTGATAAATCAGAGAAGTTATGTTAGGCTTATTTCCTACTGAGTAGATATTACAGAACATATATATAAACTGTACAAAGTATCCGATTAACAAAGAGAAAAGTCCATACATTTGTTAGCCATTGTTGCCTTAGGCACAGTGTCCGACCATTTATAAATAGGACATATTTGGACAACGAGCGACGGCCGATAAATAACGCTATAGAAAAGAAAAGGCCGAATGTACGTCTCGATACGCTGATTGTAGATACTTAACGACTATTGTGTTGACTTTTATTACGTATAGAAGATATATTGCCTTGGATAGTCTATGCTCGTTGCGATAGTAAAAGCGTGCAAAAAGTAGTTACACATAACTGGAGTAGAGATTACATATACGAATGTTTATTTATTTATTACAATCTATTTAAGTAACTTAATAGTTAACCACCGCTGCGACAACATACCATTATCTTAAAAAAATATTAGACATATACTATAATACCTGTAAAATATGATATGCATAAATATTCACATGACGCTTCAATTACGAACGATATGCGAATATAGAGAAAAATTAATTGTTTCGGAGACAGTATTAATCACGCGCAACTTCTTTGTCAACGAGGCATATTCGTTCTGGATTATTTCTTACGATCGCGACACGGACTTATTTATCTTTGGAAAGTGATATTTGGTCTTGTATAATTTTAATTAAATGTTACAACGCTAATATATAAGCACTCATAAGTATTAAAATTTTGTTAGGCACTGGCGTTGGCAATTTGCAATAAATAATTCAGTACTTTATCGAGGCGGTTCAAGTTACAGTGCGTATAAGTTACATATTAACTGGAGTCCTATTCTAATTCATAGTTGCATGAACGTTTAAAATTTAAATTATAGAGTAGTTGTAGTGAGTTTAGAGCGGTTTTTATATAATTTTGATTAGAAAATATAGTACATACATCTCGACAAGAATACATAAGTCTAAAAACGGCTAATTTATACCTAACTTTTTAGAAGCCTATGTGCCTTCACAGTTCATATAAGAAATAATGCTTGCTTTTATATTCTTGTATGCTACATTTGGGGAGTTTCAACTGTAGTTGATTTCAGTAAGTCGAAAGGTAAGACGCACTTATCAGAATCGACTCCCGCGCAGAAGCGTAAATACCGGCACTATTTAAGGAACCATATTGGATGCGATCTAATGACCTATACTGAGTTATTGTACACGCAACGAATGGACCATTCGGACATTTTTATTATGACGGCGGAGATTCAGTTCTTACATTCAAATAGAATGAGATGTTTAGTCAAGCTGATTTTTTTTTTTTTTTTTTAAATATATTTATTCACAAAAAAAGTTACACCTTAAATCAAACCATGCCCCGCAAAACTGCTTACGCAGTTTGACTGCAGGTGACTCGCCTTAAATAAACATAACTTCTAAATCACTAAATTACTAACACTGCTACTACAACTAATACTAATACACTTAATTTACTTATAGTTACAGCATATTTAACAAATGGTTTTTTAATAAACCTCTAAATTTATCCAATGAAGTCTCAGTCTCGTCTTATGTCCTCGGGGGTCAAACTATTGAGCAAGTATGGAATCCGCTTCTTCAACGTTCTATCTCCATAATAATTTTGCACCATGGGTATTTCAAATTTACTCTTTGGACATTGACCTTGTGTCAGTTATATGATGCACCAAACTAGTAAAACGATCCTGCTTACCATGGTTATTTACAAGTACAAGGAATCTATGTTTCAGGCTAGCCGGTAAAATTTTACATATTTTGAATAGTTTATAATAATCTCCTTTACACTGATTCCTTTCTTTTTATTTACTAGTAATTTTAAAAATCTTATTTGTAATGATTCTACTTTATCAATGTATGTTTTAAATGTTAACCCATAGCAGTCAAGAGCGTAACCTATTATGGAATCCACAATGCAAAATTAAACATTTTAGTATGGGCAATGAACTTTAGTACGTAAATGGTAAAACTTTTCTAATAAAATTCTTAGTTTTCTACACAAAAATTCTATATGGAATCCCAAAAAAAACGTATCTATTTTTACTCCTAGATAATTTACACAATTAACTTTTTTCGATAGGTTTACACGTACAGTTAATTTTGTTGTTATGAAAGCAATCAAAGCCGTGCGCAAAAAGGAGGTGGATTATCAATAGAACTTAAATACGGGGAGTGAATAATTATCATCTTTGTTTTGTCAGCGTTTAATATGATGCCGTTATCATGTGACCATTTAACTACCCATCCACATCCTCTTGAACCCGCGACTCTCCGAGAGGTCGGTACTAGCGCTAGAGTACAAAGGTCATCACAAACATGTGGGCCGAGCATGACTAATACTTCACAAGCTATTCACATACATCAGGTAGCACACTGGCCCACACCCAGAACCCTGGGGGACGCCGCAGTTTACTTGTTTCTCCTCACTGAATGCGTCGCCGACTTTCACACGGTAAGAGCCGCCGTGAACAGTCGCTGAACCAAGGATTCAACGGCTGCCCCAGGCCGCACTCCTCATTCCATTTAAGAGGGTCTCAGTGTTTAAGGTATCAAAAGCCTTCTTAAAATCATAAAAAATAGCTACAATAATTTTTTTATTTTCCAAATGTGCATTAATTTCGTCTGTGAAATTTGATAATAAAGTGTTGGTGCTTTTATTTTTCTGGAAGCCATGTTGGCATTCCGTTAAGATATTATTTTTTTGTAAAAAGTTCCAATTTGATTGACAACACATTTTTCCATAATTTTGTCAATACTTGATAGTATAGCTATTGGTCTATAATTCGAAAAACTTTACGATCGCCTCTCTTATAGACCGGACGAACGATTGCTTCCTTTAATTTTTGTGGAAATTTGTGATATTTTACAGATAGATTTATCAGATTAGATAATACAGGGCTAATCTTGTCAACAATTATTTTTAAGTCAGACATGCGTATAAGATCACTGCCCGGTGATTTATTTTTGTTCATTTTATCAATTCATAATGAATGTGGGAGTCAAGTGGGTGACTTTGATTTTATGGGCTTATAATGATCTTAAACCAATGCAATATTACATTAAGAACAATAATCGTGTTAAGGCTTCAAAGCCTTAATTAATATTGTCCTATTTATTTACTTGCAAAGACATTCAATAGTTCCTTGAAGCGTACATACGTACATACGTACGGAAGAGCTTGGAACCTCGACAGGTATTTTTTAATTAAAAACTTCCCAAATATGCACATTGTAATTCATAATTATAATGAATAAACAAATTATTATTTTATTTTTTACTTTTTACTAACACATTGTCTATGCTACAAAACGAAGTGCATTTTCCAGGATTCATACAAAAAATTAAAACGTTTTTAATGTACTATTATTTTTGAGAGCTTTGCTTACTTTTGCTGACAAGAGGAGGGGGGAGGGGGGAGGGGATAAATTGCATGTAAATCTGCTTACGTAATACTTGAAAGGCCCGTAAACACGATAAAAATATAGAGACGGAAGATATATCTACATCTATACGTTTTTTTCTGTTGTGAATGTTCACATTCTATAATTCATCAACTGTCACAATCTCAATACTTTAACTCTAGTTTGAGCTAGTACAAGTAATTTTTATATGGAATAAATATATTTAGATTAGATATTAGCTAACAAACAATTGATTAAAGCTGCTGTATCGGCAAATCTAAATGGTAAATTAGCAAGCGATCTGTTTAAGTTCAATGTCGTCATGACAATGGACAGGAGGTGACTTAAGAGCCTTCAAGGATAATTGTGTCATTTGGTAAGTGGCTGCGATGTATATCTTAGTTATGGGGCTCTAATTAGATTAAATGGCCTGGATTACTAAGGGCCGTGAATAAATGCGAAAGGAAGCATTTTGTTATGCTTTCAATAGTGTCTATGGGCAAGAATTTGTTTTTGAATTTGGGACAGACTGCATATTACTGGATTGTAAGTTATAGTAACTGAAATAGATAGTACTTATTCGGTGAAATTTGATATGAAGATATTAACATCTCCGGTGTCATTAAACATTATATTTCAGTGTTTATTTAACCCTAAACCCAAAAATGATTAAAACCATATCTTGCTCTATTAATTTTCGTTAAACATAAAAACTCTGCAATTAAGGTGTTATATATTAAATTTAGTAAAGTAAAATTAAAACCGATTTACTTAAAGTAGGTTACTACTACTACTAGTCCTAACTGTCTGATATTATACACACTTCTTAGCATAACAGCCCCTTAATCGCCGCATCACGACTCTACTTTACGATAATTAAAGGAGAAATTCAAATTAAACAAACACCTACATCAATGTTTCGACAACCCTCGCGTGACACCCAAATCGATTAATCGATACAAAATTCGTTATCTGGTTCAACAAGCGTGTCTAATGAATAGGAACGCATAACTCAGAGATCGAATAATCGACACCGAGTGATCAGATCGCAATCGATTCTGTCGATTTATAACGATCTGTAGTTTCCTGTAGATAGCTTATCTATGCCTGGGCTTGTTGCAATTTGTAATTGTATGTGTAATGGACGCGTCATAAAGGTATCGAAGAGAACGGCGTACGGAATATGATAATTATTTAAATTGTAGCAAATATATATTGAGTAATAAAAGTATTTCCTAATGACCTTCTCCTGATCTACTAATACTATAATTATTATTTTATTTTCATCCCAAACAACTGTACTTTTACATCTTCAAAATTGAAATTTAAAAATGGAACGTACCTTGAGCTTTTATAGCGTCCACAGCATGTGGGACTCCATCCCATGGTTTAGGTAGGTCCAAAAACACCGCATCAGCGCGACCAGTTACTTGTTCACTAAATCCTTTTTCTAGCACATCTCTATGTTGGGCCTAAAATTAGACACAATCTTAATATTTCCTAGTACTATTAAATTTAGAGAACAGGACATTATATAATTAACAATCTGGCCAAAGCAATAATGTAACTATGTAACCTACATCTTTTATTTATTTATTTACACTATTTGAACACAAATTAAAAATTGTTTCATCATTTAAGTACTAAAGTCTCATTGCTAATACTAAAATGTTTATATTTTGCACTTGTGGATTCCATGATAGGTTTCGCTCTTGATTGCTATGGATTAACATTTAAAATATACATAGATAAAATAGAATCATTACAAACAAGATTTTTAAAATTACTCGTAAATAAAAAGACAAAGAATAAATGTAAAGGAGATTACTCTAAACTATATAAAATAATGTTAGCGCAGTCTCTTCTGCTTCCTATTCTTGATTATGCGGACTCATGCTCCTCTGAACGAAGGGCTACTTGACAAGATCGAACGCCTGCAGAATTTCTGCATACGTTTCATATTTGGTCTTAGAAAATATGACCATGTGTCTAAATTCCGCAGGCAGCTGGGGTGGCTACCTATTCGATTCAGACGTCACGCTCATCTTCTTCAACTTCTATACTCAATTCTTTTCAATCCGAAAACCCCTTCTTATCTCAAAAACCACTTCAAATTCTTAGGTCCTTCTAACTATATGTTACGGTCTTCTAATAGATGTTTATTGGAAATTCCATCCCACACTACATCCTTCTTAGGCAATTCATTTACGATCTCCGCCATTAAGTTGTGGAATACGCTGCCTGACTCCGTACGATTGGCTACCTCTCTGTCATCTTTTAAAACTCTTCTGTATAATCATTTCTTAACCTTATCCTATCCTCATCAATCGTGAATTGTATAATTCTTATGTTTCCTTTTACATCACTATTCGCTGTTCATGTATTTGTAAGATAAGCTTTTATGTTTTTAGTCTGTTATTAATATTTTTTTTTTGTATTACTTTAAATTAAGGTACTATATATATTTTTTTTTATATAACATTTGGTTCTGCACTTCTCGCACGCATCATGTTTCTTTTTTTTTAGTTTTTCTCTTTAACTAGGGTTGCCTGGAAGAGATCGCTTATTAGCGATAAGGCCGCCCGTTGCATCCCTTATAATTTTTATGTATTGTGTTTCTTTTATTTGCAACGAAGTGTAAATAAATAAATAAAAATATGTAAAATTTACCGGCTAGCCTGAAACATAAATATCTTCTACTTAACTTTACTTTTATTACGTAAATAATCATAGTAAACAGTCATGACCAAAATAAATTTGAAATACTTATGGTGCAAAATTATTATGGAGATAGAACGTTGAAGAAACGGGTTCCATACTTGCTTAATAGTTTACCCGAGGACATAAGACTAGCCTTCACTTGATAAATTTAAAGGTTTATTAAAAAACCATTTGTTAAATATGTTGTAGCCATTACGTGAATTAATTGTATTAGTGTGACCTAATTTAGTGATTTAGAAGTAATGTTTATATAAGGCGAGTTACCTGCAGTCAAACTGCGTTAGCAGTTTTGCGGGGCATGGTTTAAAAGAAGGTGTAACTTTTTTGTGAATAAATATATTACATACATACATACATAATGCAAAGGCGGCCTTATCGATACTTAGCGATGTCTTCCAGGCTACTCTAAGTAAAGCAAAGAGTAAAAAAAAGAATGTTAAGAAGTGCAAGAGTGCGATAAATATTTTATATAACACAAAATAATAACAAAAATGATAATACAAATCTATGAAATCTTTATATTATTAAGGTAAGTCTATCTATAGGCCCAAAGCTAATATAAACAGTGACGGCAATTCAAATAGCCGGATCTCGGGGGAGCCACTAAAACTCTAGCGCATAGAAAAAGTTTTCGTCACCCTTTGCAGTTTTAATATTTATTATCATTAATATATTCTATCATTGAAATTATTCAATAAAATCTGCAATAACTGTTTTCTCCCGACAAAATTTTTGTTTAATCTTGTTTGTTATAATATAACACTAGGTGCCCCCGCGGACTTCGTTTCTCCTTAATGCCTAGCCTACCTTTTTAGTACATACCAAAATGGAACATTTTGCTACGCTAACCCAGCTACTGCCGGAATTAAAACTTTATAGGTTTTTCTGTGATTTTTCTCTATATAAACCTGAGACCTCAAGTTATAAGTTCTTAACTAACAAATAAAAAATTGATCGTTGAGGGTAGATGAACATTAAGGGTTGTATGTATTTTTGTATGCTGTATCATAAAAAAATAAAAGTAAAAAATTAAGTCTAAAAATAAAATTAAAAATTCAGGGGTGGACACCCCTTATCACTTAGGGGTTTGTAAGATAGATAGTAGCCGATTCTCAGACTTACTGAATGCATAAAAAATTTCATAAGAATTGGTTGAGCAGTTACAGAGGAGTATGGAAACGAACATTGTGACACGACGAAAGATTTTATATATTAGATGAAAAAGTTACTTTTTTAAGAGACATGAAAATTGATTCTTTTACTGATATTAAAATTTACACAATTTAAGATATACAAGTTTTGATATTCACCGTTACATATTCTGCTATGCCATGTGACTCAAATTCTTCCTTGGCAAGTTTAGCACGGTGGTCATGGAAGTCAAATGTATAAACATGCCCATTAGGTTTTACCCGTCTAATTAAAGCATGAGTTAAAGATCCACTGCCAGTACCTGTCAAATATAATATATAAGTAAAAAGTTGTATATATATAATAAATGATTTTACACAGTTGTTTTACTGAGATAGGTGAGATATAGAAAAAAATATAGGAACATGGACATATAAAGACAAGTATAGACAAGTTTTATATCTTTTGATAACATATTTAGAAAGACTTAAATTCTTCCAAATGTTTTCTTAAGCTTATTTATATTAAAATTTTGACTAATTTATAATATGTGATGACACTCACCTGCTTCAACAACAATAGATCCAGGTACTAGATCTAATTGCAATAGAATCATGCTTATGTCTGGTGTGTATATTATTTGTGTTCGATGCGGAAGTGTTAGTGACCAAAGCTCTGGTGTTGGCTGAATAACATGGCCCCAGCCTTTTGATAATTCTACCTAATGGGAGGCAATACTGCAATTATACCCTATATAATTATTAAATTGTGTAAATAGTGTTTAATTTGTTTAGGTTAAGGCATATTGTAAAATTTGTTTAGTTTTTTTGTTTATGATATTGATAGATAATAAGAACTAATTCGTTGTAACTTGTACGCAAATACAATCAGAAATGACATAGTCTCTTATTTAATAAAATAATAGTTTTATGGGGAATAATAGTTAAAACTATTTCCCATTTCCAAACAGCTCCCAAACCAAAACCCTAAGCTGTACCAAATTAATTATTAATAACAAGAGGTTATGTTGTTGATATTATAGCAAGTTTATATATTATATATACCACAGCATACTTACCCTGCTCCCATACTCAATTCCAATCAAATTTTTTACTTTGAGAGCACCAAACGTTGTTTGGTAAACATTTTCTACCATTTCTCCTTTTTTGTTTTTAATTTCTGTACACACTTCTATAGCGTGAAGATTATTACTTAGATACAGAATAACCACATCGCCGTCTTCAATTTTCTCTTTATAGCCTTTGAAACTCATGTTAAGTTATTTATGTATTTTGCTTTGTAAATTTTGTATTTTGTAAACAAATCGTAGTTAGTAACACGAGAATTTGACACCTGACTTATGAAACTTTCTGACAGTTTCAAGATCATATTACATTTTTATCTAATCTAAAATGGATGATATTTTTGTTATGCATGTGTCATTTTTGTCTCCTAAAAGCATAATTATTATTCTGTTCTTAGTTAAATTCATAAAATGTTTACATAATGTCACGATATAATATTATGAATTTCTGTATGATAGTCTGTGGTCCGTGGATCCTATTGACGGGGGACAACCACAAAATGATAAAGTTTTAAGAAAATTAAGGGAGTTGGTATCATTGGTAAATAGCCATTCTACTGTATGTATTTACTACTTAGAACATTAAAAAATTAAACAACTCATAAAACAACAACAATAGTAATATATAGGCAAACTAAAAAAGCTAATCTATTCGATTTATCTACATTGTAGTTTGTATGTAAATTGTAAAGTGTCATGGTTAACATTTTCCGTCAAAGTGCTACTTGACAGACTGGACAGACATTCCAAATATTCGAACATTACAAAAATAATTATCAATATTTTTGTATGCGAAGCGAACTGCGAAAACATTTACAAATGTATTGAACAGTTTCGAATTGAACATTTGTCTGTTCTAGATTACGAACTAGAAAGTGTAATAAAAACATATTTTCATTAGTTAATCACGTAAAGTTTTATCAGGTATTTCTGGAAGTGTTATTTGAATTAATGCAAAAACTCTTGATAAAACATTTTAAAAATGGTGACAATGGATGCAAGCAAAATGACTAGTAAAACAAGTTCACTTAAAGCTTTATTACTGAAGGCTTGGCGAGAAAGATGGACTGATATTCAGTGGGGGATTAATATTAAGACAATACTACCTAGGGGGGTAAGTGGAGATTTGTACAACCTAGCTGACTGTATTTTACAACAGGCTATGGTAGGATGTGGTGCTAATCAGCTAGTAATATCATATTTGAAACATTCTCTTGCATCTCACATTGTTTCATATGCTGCTGTTCTTCAAAGAATTGCAAAGTTTGACTCATTTCACAAACCTCATTGTATACTCAGTCTTTTAGAGTTTTTGGAAAGTTTTATTGATAATGTCACTTGCCGAAGCAAAATGGAGGAAGAAATTTTATCAAACGCAATATCCTCTATAATTTTGTGGCTATTACAAGTGTATCACTACTCACTGAGTAAATATCCTTCATCCAATCTTAATCAAAGCCAAGAACTTTTGGATAAGTCTACCTCGCTGTTGAATTCTATAACAAGTTCAGATTTCTTAGTAGCTATGTTCTATTTGGCAAAACAAAATGACCCTGAAGAGTACACAGAGGTTACTAAGAAATGTCAAGAAATAACAGCATTTATGATGATGAATACTCAGTTTAAAGCACCTCTTACAATACACGATACTATTCAAAAGATTTGTAATATGGTTCTTGATAAAATAGCACCTTTCAATAACAAACCTGAAACTGTAACATACTGTATACAAGCAATTGTTGCTATAAATGTGTTAGCAAAGCCAAGTGCAGAGGTACAATATCTTTCGAATCAACTGTTAATCATAAAGAGAATTAAAGGGTTTTCATTATCTAGAGTATATAGTGAACTAATAAGAGCGTGTTTCATTTCACTGAATGATGCTAGCAAAGATGCCATGAAACAAGCCTTATGGGCTGCTTTTACATTTTTAAAAGTACCTCAGATAATACAATGTATGCATAATATATGTGGGACACAGAGCAAAGATGGAGACTATTCTGTTGAAGTTGTAGAAGCTTTTGAAAAATTATTACAAAATACTCCATTGCTTGATGTTGTTGATGCTAAGAATAGTTGCAACAGTGTAATATCCCTCCTGGAACCGTTAGTGAAGTTAAATGTTGTTACTGAAAGTCACTTATCTTATTTTAACCAGAAACGTGAGACTAAAGATCTTAAATTACAAAAATTAGAGCCAACTGGACTTCAAGGACCTGTGCCTAATTTTATCACACGAGCTGAACCTACTCTAGCTGGTATTCTGAAGACTATGGGTGGTGATTGCCACAAGATTATAGATTCATTATATTCAATGTTATGCCAAATAGTAGGGGGAACCACATTAGATACAATCCTGTCCGTTGCAACTGTTGAAGGGAAATCCAAATTATTTGTGTCAAGACTAATAAAGTTCAATGAGTTTGCTTTACTTGCTGCAAGTGAAAAAGGAGCTTCTCAATCTAGGGTCTATGTATTTGATATAACATTTTTGATACTCTGTTCGATTGTTCAAGAATATGGTGCTGAAGCTGTTTTGGATGAAAATGGGGACTCCTTCTTTGAAAAATGGGTTAAAGAGTTTTTGCCCCTAAATGGTGCATACAAGTGTCCGAACCGAATATTGCAGAAATGCGACCAACAACTTGTAGACATCTTTATTCATCACTTGAGTGCTTCTGATTTTGACTTTAAAAATACTAATTTAAAGCCTCATGATTTGTGCATGAATGTTAGTGGTGTTATGAAAGAGGTCTTATTTGCTTGGGAGCAAGGTTCAATCTCAACTGTAGATGTAAAGAGAATGCTTGACTCTATGAGGCAAAAAATGGCTTCTCTTGCAGTGTGTGGTTCAGTATGGCTCTGCTCATACATTAATGTTGTTCATGAAGATGCTACAGTTAAGCCAATGAACATGATGCAGCAGTTATGTAGTCCTCCAAATGAAGTTGAATTGGCACAGAGTGATAATTTTAAGGAGCGTGCTGTTTTGATGTGTTCTATAATAAGAAAGTTACAACATGATGTCCATCCGCCATCTGTACCGAAAACAAAAACACTTTCTCATTTGATTGTATCCAATCAACCAATACTTGAACAGCTACAAACAGTTTGGGACGATGTGAAAGTTAGGGGATACTTACATATTGATGCAACACACATTGTTCAAAGTCTATTAAACACTGCTGGTCATGTATGGTTTGTCACAAATCTCATTAAGGAGACTCTTAAGTTTAGGTATCAAGAAGAACTCGATAGATTTGTAGATATTGTACTGGCAATGTTTCATTTGGATATAGAAAAATGTACCGAAGCTTTGTTACAACATGTATTGCCACAGTACTTGTATAATGCGAAATTAATTGATGAATTAGTTGAGCCTCAATCCACAGTACTTGCAAAGATATGTGTGTATAGTATATTTGCCGCTCTTGATCAGAGTATAACAACAAAACCTCAATCAAGAAAACGCAGACATGAAGATCCTGAAGATTTAGAGGCTATTTCTTCCAATAAATTACGACGGCTAAATGACAACTCGTCAGATGGAAGTGTTTATCATTCAGCAAGAGAGCACAGTTCAGGAGTTGTTATAAAAGAGCCATTGCAAACATCCTTAGATATGTTATTTAAGACATTTTCACAGCTGGCTGGCAAGAATGGTTATGTAACTCCTCAGACACGGTTTATTTTTGAATTTTTGGTTTTTATTATTCAGTGTGGTCAAGAAAGAGCACAACTTGTATTACAGAAAATGCCAAGTGAAATAGTACCAATTTTGATAAAGGCACTTCCAGATAATTTTAATGTGGCCATCATTTTAAGATTGTATGAATTAAGTACACCTTACGGTAGAAAAGATGCAGCTAGAGATTTATGTCTATTGCGAAATATGTGGTTACGACCTGAATAAATATAATTGATGTCTTCAATAGAAATAAATATTACATGTGGATTTATGGTTTTCTTTGATTAGTCCTATTATCAATAATGCACAAAGGGGTTTAAATAAATTCGATTAATTTCAATAGTTTATTTATTATCTTTATTCACATAAAAATTTGTGAACTAATATTATGTTCATCGCCTTTTATTTCACATTTACACAACCATTTTAATTAGAAAGGGGTAAATTTAAATATTTTTTATAATAATCTAAAATCATATCTACAAATAGAGACTTAGAGAAAATAATTTCTTAAAAAACAATTTATTTTAAAACTCTAATATTTTTGCTAAATTTTGAAACAAATGTCAAATACGAGAAAAAAATAATTGCATTAGTAGGTAAAAGATTACTCGAAAAAACGAAAACAAACTGATGACCTTTAAAAATATGAAGTACATAAAGTATGTACATATAATGTAAAGTACCTATGTAATTATAACATTAGTATAATTTTTCCTTGGACGGATATAATCTAATAATACTAAGTACAGAATATCATTATTTATTTAGTAGGTCTCTAAAAAATCAACAATTGCACAAAAAGAGATAAATCTATAGTTTAAATTATATACAATGTTATACCAAGTTCAAATCATCACATTTGATGTGTTGTGAATTTAAATGGACGGTAGCATGTTTTGTACATTTTCAGTAAAATTAATTTACAACTTTTACTAAAATTATTTACTAACTAGATTTTGTACACCTTAATTACGCGAAGATCACAGGAGAGTTCCAGAGATTACCTATTAATATAATATTTTTTATACAAAATAGAAATAAAGGTAACAATCAATATATGAAAAATGTGTACAAAAAACTTTGACCAGTAAAAAATGTATTGGTCTGCGACAAAATTTATATTAATACAGATAGCTGTGTTATAATGCCGGCTTTTTGGCATCTGGCGAATCTGCATGTGGTTCATCTGAAAGAAAATATTAAATATACCTCACGATTCCATCCAGAACTTACGAAATATTTAATAAAAATGGGTAGGTATAGGTATATTATTATACAATATTTGACTCTAAATGTAAACTTCTAGTTACAAAAAATGAAACCCGGATGATATTTTTTCAAAGAATTTAGGTGACGATTAGGGATTACCTATGTGTATAAGTAGTTTCTGCAAGGTTGATTTGTATAGGTGTGATGGTATGACAAATTTGTATCATTATAGTATCAGTATTTATGTTATCACTTTATGCCCTGAGTTTTCTTTTTACTTATCGACTTAGAGGGTAAGTATCTCTACTGTAACCTGTAGGTAGCAAATTTCACTCAAATGAACCCTATTATTGAAAAGGTAAGAAAACTATATTTCTTTTTAAATTACAGAACCGGGAATCGAACCGGTTAAAAAGCAATAAAATAACAACCTGTATGTTCGATAATCGATGCTATCGATCGAGAGAGTCAATCATGTGGATCAAATCTTTCTTGTCATTTTGCGTATACTCACCGATATGTCTCCTCAATATCTCCCCTTCTGTGGGTAATTCAGGTGGAGTCCTGCTAACTCTCATTGTTAAGCTTAATCTATTAGGACTACAGCTATCTTCAATTACTCCTTCTGTATTTGCAAATGATCTTTCGTTTCTCCATGTTTGCTGATAGGAACTTTCAGAAGTTATTGTGCTACATCTATTGTTAGTGTGAGGAACATATTGTTCTGGCGACCAGTCAAACACAAAAGTATGGCTATAATTATGAGTATACGCTGACGGGGTCCCAGATGGTGTTGGAGGTGTTGTAGTGACATAAGGACTTAAGTCTTGATGACAGACATCGGGAACTTTCTGTACTGCAGATTCCGACCAAGTAGGACTTGGATTCCATTGGTCTACCATCTCCGTTTCGGATGTAAAGTTTTTTGAACCTGGTCTACGATTAGCAATCGCTCCAGCGACTGCTACTAATGTATCCCCACCAGAACTATTTACAAAACGTGGAGATAGAATAGGAATAGGTGTATTAGGCTTCTCTTCCGACTTGCCTTTCTTTTTAACGTTGGGCTGTAGTCTTGTATCTTCAATTCCTATATTCGAGAATCTGGAAGAGAAATCTACAGTTAAATTGATGTACTTTCTTACTTTTTTATTGGTAGTGAAATTCAAATAGGGTACAATTATAATAACAGAAGATCTTCCTTAATAAACAATACCTGCTGTCTTGGAGAGAGACGGAGTAATCTACAGGTCCGTTATCTGTTCTCTCATAAGCATAATGAATTGGTGCTAAGTGAGGTGGTACGTGTGTCAAATGGGGTTGAAGAGTTGAGTTTGGCATCATAACTGGTTGATTCCCATTTATGCAGACTGGTGGAGTTGGGGCATATTGCATAGTCGGCGGATACACTTGTATGTCTGGTGGTGGAGGGCCATACATCCTTGTTGCTGCTTCATAGGCCAAGCCGTAATGTAACTTCGATTGTACTGCATAGTAATGGTATAGCCAAGGGTTTGCTTTCATCACTGTTGCTTCCTGTTCGCTGTTGACAATGAGAAATAAAATTATTATTATCTAATTTTGGGCAATATAGATGATTATATACACACATTGGATTAGTGTTTCTACGCAGTTCCCAAAAAAAAAACCCTTATAAAAAAGTCAAGACAATTAAATTGTATTTTTTTAAGAATACTAATGTTTAGTTAAATAAAATCTTCGATGGAACAAACAAAAGACCTAAAGGGATAATAAATGTTTCTTCAGGAGGGGTAACTGACACTGTAATAATAGATAAAGAAATTGAAACAGGTATTCGACCATCAGCATATTTCGACTTTGTTACATGTTTTGCCCATTAGTTGGATCGGAGAATGGGTACCACTAAAGTTTAATGTTTATATTAAGTAGTGCGAAATCTAAAGAAATTCACACTTATTATCTGCAGGAACGTAGTTATTTGTAGGCACATTATTATAGAAAAATAATTGCGATTCTACTATTATTATTGTTAAATGTTTTAGGGTTTTTTCTAAGGTTTTAAAGACGTAGGTATGTTTATTATTGTACATTAGGATTAGGATATCCTAATGGTAGTATTTTTGGTGACTGATATATTGTTTACTCGATCATATGACCTTTTAAGTTAAGCGAAGACCTTTGATATAATGCAGGCAGAGAAATGTCACAGTCCTGGAAACACTAGCTACTACATTGTAGTATGGGCGTCGAGAAAATGAATGTTTGTATTTTATTATATTTATTTCTAAAGTGAATATATTTAATGTTAATTCTTTGCACTACGAATTGAACCTCACTAATTGAAGAAAGGTTTAATTACGACTAGTTTACAATATTTGTTCTTTAGACATTACCGTTTTATTTTTGTCCATGAATTTTTTATTGAATGAATGAATTAGTATGGTCATGATAGCCGTAAGGCATATAATATAATAAATAATTTATGTAATTAGCACTACTATCAATAAAATCTGAGGTTCACATATTTGTTCTTATAACCTTTATTGATTACAACATTGTTAGTTATTTGTTCCCGAGTAATTTTATGAAAGTTTTTAATTCATTTCTAAAATACATGTGCGTATAACTCAAGTATTAGTACAGTATACCTTTACTAACTATAATTATCTAATATATTTTATTATACTTTAGATGCTATTCGATTGTACCTTACATTATTGGACAAATCGCTCTTACATTTACTGATATCTGGAATCAAAGGGTAAACGGATAAACAGTACATACATTGCATAATGAAATTGACCTTCGAGAACGTGATTCATTAGACCTGTAGCTTTAATGTTTGTCTAGTACTGATTTAGGTTACCAGTGATGGAGTAATTATAATGAATAAATTTATAATGGAATTAGTTGAAGGGAAAGCTTTAAACTAACGGATAAATCGAAATGTCAAGAAATGATCGTTTGGAATTTGCTGCGCCCTGAGTGAAAACTTTTCTACGTACAAAATACCTGGTGTGTATGGATATGTTGCTAAAAACCTACAAAGCCCGGTTTCTAAATTCACCTTTCGGTACCACGGTTAAACTATATTAAAACGTATACAAACTGTAAGCTATTAATAGGTATCCAATTATGTAAAGCGATAAGAGAAAGATATGTATAAGGAAATAAAAGGCTTATCTATAGATTCTAGAAGTCACGGGCATTATCAGCAAGTTAAGACATTTTTGCTTAGCCCAGTAATTGAGATAAAACCATGTAAAGGCAGTATAGTATTTATCGTAAACAGCCGACGAGGTATTATGATTACAGCCCGTACGTCGGTCGGTAATTATGAATTAACTTGTAATTGGTCAATTTTCTGTGGAATTATTTGTTCGATGGGTACTGTATGAGAATTGAGATCTTGGGGCGTTGGTTTGATTATGGAGTCTAGATCGGATAGGCTAGTAGGTTTTTTTAATAATTTTATAGTATGTACATGTGTCTACATTAATGCTTTTAACTTTTCAATGGCATAATACTCGTACAGGTACACGATGATTTAGTAAAACTAAGTAGACTTCTAGTTAAAACTATTATGATATTATTGTATTGTTAATTCATATAATATAACAATCAAAATTGTATTTACTTTTTAAATATTATAACAAGCTCTAGAGGAAAGTCTAAACGAATTTTTGTCATTATTAGGAGAATACCGTTGTATTTAACAAATAATATTTATTTTAATTCTACCGCGAGTTTAAATAAACAAAAGATTAGCTAGAAGTACAAAATTTGTCGTATTTACTAATACAGCCATTTGAAAATAGAACTCCATGCACATTTGAATATGTGTGCGTGTGAAACAAATGTTACACTTTTCTGAAATTTTAATTCATTATATTATGGAAGACCTGTAGACGAATAAACCCAAAAATTGTTCTCGTACTATGTAGGTTCCTAAAAATATATGAATCCATTATAGGTGCCCTTGTTTTCCACTGACCTCTACAATCTCCTACATTTATTTACTGACAGTGACTGATGTATATTTTGAAGATGTTATTAGGTGGTAAGTAGAAACCTTGTTTCTCAATTGAGAAATCAGAAACGCTAAGTAAAAACGTAATCCATTTTTTTTTGAACTTGAAACCTTTTTAAAATCCTTGGTTTCTAAACATTGAGGATAAACTCACCAATTAATAATTGGCCTCTTATTAGGGCCATGATAATTTTGAACCGCATACTTCACTTGACTGAAAAATTTACTGCCATAATTTTAACACAAACTTCCCTATTAAGATATCAATACGAACAGAACCCCTACCACACAAATTTTATCAAAATCGTTTCGAGTTGCGAGATTGTGTTTTAAACGTTTACTTAGCGTGATTTTTTCAAAGCCTAACTTCTCGTGATTTGTAATAATGCTTTGTGTTAAGGTGTATTTTACAAGATCCAGCAATTACATATTGTAATTGTAGTAATTATCTTTTAACATCTACAGAAATAAGACTTTATTGATGTTGGTTTTATCTTTATAATTATTTTCTTATATTAATTTTGCCATTTATCAGTAGGAATGGGTGAATTAAGCTGTTTATCTCAATAAAGAACTTAACGAACTCCTGCTTAAAAAATCATTTTCATTTTTCTTTTTTTATGACGGCCTAAAATGTGTAGATACTGAATACTTTCTGAAAACGGGTAAAGTTCGTAGTAGGAGTAACATCGAATAAATATTGTAAGGGGGTGATTTATGAAGTTGAGGCGTCTAGCCGATCGAGCAAGCGATGTTGCTATCCGATTTGAAATATGCTCGCAAAGGGCTATTGTTGTGATGTGAGAAACGGTGTTTAACAAGCGCCGCCTCTGATCAGCCGACTTTATTCCCATCCATATTTTATAGCAAGAAAACACGTGAAAACCAGCTAATTCTGTTAAATTACACGCTTCATATCTCGTTTGAGGGAATTGAATCAAGTTTGTTTTATGCAGAAAATGATTACATTGTTTTATAAAGGGCTTAACAGGTTTGAATAATTATGAATTTGTATACGCGTGAATTCAATGTGGGAATAATTTAGAGTAGTTGTCAAACTACTTATTGATTTGAGTTCTTTTTTAATCGAAAGGAAGTAAACGAACAAGCTGATTATCTAATGTTAAGTGATGCCCACATGATGGGCAATAATGCCAGAAAGTTCGAATGCGTTGCCGGCCTCATAGAAATAGTAATGTACATAATCACATACACAGAAAATATCTTCCATCGACTATAATCATAAACATATTTTTCACGAAACGATAAAGATGAATTTAAAATGATTTTATCATGCGTCACAAATTGCCTATATCTTATTTATTCCCAATGCTATTTGTCATGAAACTTACGTCCGTAATAAATATCAATTAGGTAGAAACAACGCTGTTTCGGTAATGAGTGGTGAATTAATATCGCCAAAGTTCACGCTATGTCACCGACAGCTATATAATTCAGTTATCTAGCTCATTATGCAGTGACTAAGAAGCGAATTAGTCGCTTGTACTGAGCCTCCGAGATTGTAAATCTAAATTAATATCAGCCGAGGTGACAGCTCGCTTGACCCAAACAATCAGCAGGCTAGATATCGAGTTTGGTGCGAGTTATAAGACACTATTTTAATCGATTTGCATAAAGCATTTTTGCTGAACGATTTTCGATTTTGGGTACAGGAGTACAGTGTCAAGCGAATTATTATACCACACCTAAAATAAGGGAGCGTTCAAGTATAACCTCACGCAATTTTTGGAGATTATTGACAACTACCCCCCCATGTAACGCGTCGTAACGTTTTTCTGTACCCAATAGTAAAACGTTTCGTGACCACCCAGCGACTCTAGATATCTCAAAGTTACCATAATGTGGTGTAAAGTACTGGAAAGTTGAAGATAATATTAAGAATAACTCGTAATTTAATCCCCGCCCTGCATCGTAACGTTTTACAAGAGGACCAACCCCCCATCTCCCAAAATTCGTTACGTAATACTTGAACGCTCCCTAAGACGGAGATTTTTTAATAATAAAGCCCATTTAGCTGAGTACAAATAATACTTATACACGTATTAAATTGTCAGTATTCAATATTTTATTTCAATGTCATGTTATAATTTTATATTTTACTTACAAAATGTAACCTGCTTATCTTAACTGGTTTTCGGACAAATAGGGATCAATTCGAATGTAAGTTCTAATAACTTACACCGCTCGGTGCGTTTGGTATTCCAAGCTCTACATTGTCCCCCGAATTGCATCATTTGTCACATGTCCGAGTTTTTTTCACTTAACACTGGTATTCTTATGAGGCACGTGTATGTTAATGTAACAGATTCCTTCTTAATAGCAAATATTAAGAAAATTCTTTGTTATGTTTGTTGATAAAGCAGTCCGGATTTGATTTTTATATGGTAGACAGGTAACGGAATAGCCATAAAAGATGCCGCAGCCCTTGGTCAACCTTGTAAGTAGGTGCGATTCCGGCCTTTAGTAAAGGAGTTTTTATAGCTTTGAGGCCGTATATCCCAGGAAAGATTTCCACTGGAAGTCGATTCTAGATTCTAGTCGCAAGAGTGTATAAGGAAATGCCTACGGAATGCCTATGCAACGAAGAGCTGTTCGAATCGTCGTCGACCAGACACTTTCCGAGCGGCTTATCCCATGGCGTTGTGTAGACATGTGGATCTCTGGATCTATACCATGTATCTTATATTCCATACCATGGAGAGTGTTCAGTGAGTGGAGATGTTGAGTGAGGTCGAAAGCATACGAAGTTCCACCCGTATTGAGAGTATCCATGGGCATATTTTCATCAAATAAGCCACCTGCCCATTTGCCTCCTTTTCTTTTTTGCCTATTGTTCTATAAATAATAAGAAGCTGACTGTGAAAAACTTTCAGCCCTTGAAACTTTGAATGTTATTACAATTGTCTACCACCCAATGGAAATGTTGGTATTAAATAAATAATGTTGGGTGGGTTGTCTTTTAGACTTTTACAAAAAATTCAGAAATACTTTCACAAGCATCCTAACCATAGATAAGAACAACAAGCATATGAAATAAATCTAAATTTACAAGAAATAAGGTTGCTACAACTTAATGCATTTTTGAATTGAAACTCGTATAAAAGAGGATTGCAAATTGTCATCATGTCTACCGCCTACATCATGTCCGTAAGATTTATGCGTCCAGAGGAAGCAGTCGCAAATTGGCGGGAAACGAGAAATATACGCTCCTCAATATTCCATTAAGTTTTGCATAGTTAGCAACTTGTTTACTGTTTACATACAATTAGGATGGATAGATTTTGTAATAATTTATGATTGCATAATTAAAATAGCACTAGCTATTCATGATATGTGGCCTGTGGGATTCATTACACGTAAGGTAAATAAAACATTTCATTTATCATTTTCATGACATAACCAACATTGGTTGATATTAAAAATAGAGTGAGTTCATGTAAAAAGTACTGATACGATGACATTTATTTTTATTTCAAAAAGATTTTATGTTTTATTGTTGTGGCACGTAATACCTTTATTTATATAAACATATGTAATTGAAAATGTAAAAGGTTAAAAGCAAATGTTAATCATTGATATAGTTATCTTACCTTAATACTTGATTCGTGCACACAATAACTGGCCGTTGAGAATTCTCCAAATTATCTTTGAGCTGCAGCACAGCATGGACCCAGAGGAACTGACCACACCTCCGCTGCAGCCGGAGCAACGCTATGCACGATCTTTCTTGCTCTGATTGTGTAACTAAAAAGAAATACTCGGTTAGCATAAAAAGAAAAGTTTTATTTTATACGGAAATATTTATTTAAATTAGTACAGTAGTGAACTAAAAACCACCAAAAAATTTAAATTTATGATAGGATATTGTACTTTCGGTATATATTAATGTTAACATTTTACAACTTGCGACGATAAAAACCCTTTTAATAAGACAAAAATAATTTTATTTTTAAGACACCACTTCCCGCGCACTAAGACTTAATGAAACCAGCTGCCCCATTCCAGGTATTTCCGACTTAAGGGCGTTCAAGAGAAGCGCGTACAACTACCTTAAAGGCCGGCATCGCACTTGCAAACCTCCTGCGTGTCCATAGGCGGCGGTAAAAACTCAACTTAATACCGGCTCGTTTGCATCCTGTGCCATAAAAAAATGAATACAATGAAGAATAGATTTAGTTAATTAGTGGGCCTCTAATAATTTAATATGTTAATTATACCGAAATCATGACATTTTAAGTAATGAATAATAATAACATAAATTAAAAACAAAGATTTGTCCTCTATCAGCAGAAGGCATGGTGAAATAGGAGCACGCACTGACATTCACGTGGGAACAACACGCAAACACATAGTCGTGGTAGATGAACATAAGTTGGCGATAGATAGATCCTGTCCTCTTTCCTCGTCGTAGTTTCGTCGTATTCATCTTAGCCTACTGAGTTTAACTAGCACGTTAAACTTTTCAATCTTTTCATCTAAGTCTATGTTAAGTCTTCTTTATTTCTATGCATACTCTGTTAGCTTTCTAGGTATACTTTTCGTTTTTGTAAGCAATATATTATATAGTACTAATAAATAAATAAAATAATAACAATAATTTATTTCGACTCATACCACTATAAATAATTCTAGCGTCACTCATATCTTTGTCTAGACAAAGGTTACACCGAAAAAAATTGCTTGTCACTATAAGCCTAAGATTACTCATATTAGATTGAGTGTGAATTGTTATAATTGAATGGCTCTAATATACGAGTTAGTAAAGCGATTATTAATGCTTATACTTCTGCCCATAAAGGGAGCTTAGAAGATATTATATAGTATAGTACCATAGACTATATATTCGTAGCACTAAAGCTGAAGTTTGTATGAACAAAATCGCTTATTTCGACTCTGATGTTGTGATAGTAATTTACATAGTCCAAAAATGGTCCGTTCATTGACGCACGGCCAAATATGGCAGATCAGGTGTCTCGTCAAAAATTCTTGACGATCATAATATGTTGATAAGGCTTATTTGTTATTGACACTTCATTACCATGTATTATATATTATAAATTATTATAGTTGTGTGAAGTCTTATACAACTGTTTAAAGTTAAGTTTGAACAAAGAGTTCTAACTTTACATTTTTACCGACATCAAAAGACTGAGGTAAACGTTGGGTTGGTATTATGATTTTAATTAAGACCATATACCGTATCTGGAACTCAAAGTACAGAGGTTTAAGATATTCCTTCATTAGGTAAGTTCTGTGATAAGTTATATATATTCCATAATAATAATAATAGAAAAATATCCTAAACCGAAAGCACGCAGAACACTTTGAGCGAAGTATTATTATAATTAATATATTAGTAGATATTGCCAAGTACAGGCATATCTAGATTAGTTAAATCTTTCGATACGTTTCACTAACCATTAAGAAAGTTATAAAGCTTAGATCTCTTGCTAAACCTTAATTTATTTTCAGAGGCCTAAAAAAATTAAATTACTCTAAGCTAACATTTGAGCTTAGAGTTGAGATACTTGCTTGTTGAAGACTATGACTTAAGACTAATGCTTTAGATATAGACACTAAAGGATGATTTCCGTATGTAAAAGTCAATTTTTGACATGCGAGAGCGCTGTCTCGTTTATGAATCGTCCCTAAGCGAATACAAAGTTTTCGCCACACATGTCACTATTACATGCATCCGTATAGGTACAGTGAGTTCAATTCAGTTTCACACAAAATATTTAAATCAAGCTGTAATTAAATCCAATAGTTGATTAGTATTAAAATATGAAAATTGTATTACATGATTGTACTATAAATCACGTTACTTGGAGACTGAATGAAATATTGCACTTATCCTTACCTTAACGGGATACATTAATTGAATGATATATTTTCTATATATCTTACTTAGCTGAAATAAAATTTAATTATGAATTATTTCGTTTATTAAAACCTAAACATAACAATCTAATATACAGTATTTACAATTTTCCTAACCTACATACATCTTAATAATAATAATTAAAAATTAATATATAGAAAATTAAAATATATTTTAAAAGTTTGGTTCATGTGGCAGTGTACCTTTAACGCTGGCAGAATTGAATTGAATTTATAAGATTTAATTAAGATCGTAATTTTCATCATAAGTAAGTTGCATATATTTTTCATTAAGTAAAACATTTTTTATTTAATTGATTTACTAAAGAGTAAATCAACCTTTATCTTGAAGTAAATATTTAAATATACTACTTTCATTTATAATTTAGATTATAGATAAGTATATGTACTAAAATGAAATGAACTCATCGCCAATATTATTATTTATTTAAATGAAATTGAAGTAAATTTTCTGCTCATTAGGATATAATAACCAATGACTAAATCGTAATATAATCCGAAATAATATGAACAACCTAAAAGTGTCATACATCTCCTAACTCTTCAAAACTCTTGAACTAATATAGACAAACTAGCGGACCCAATCGACGTTGCCCTGTACACGTATTAAATTGAAAAATTTCAAAACATTGATTAAGAAAAACGACATTCTAATTGTAAATCTAAACCATTCTCGAATCTACTTGAACACACAAAGAATTCATCAAAATCGTTGTGTTTCATCACAAACACACGCACAGATTTATAAAAAGAAAGATTATGAATTGTTAAACCACATAACATTGCTATGTCTCTGAAGAACACTGTCAACGTACTATCGTAATCCTAAGCAAATTTGCAGACAGGAGAATAATAAATTATAATACAAATATATTTACAACAAATTAGTATCGTTTTCAAATGTACGAGATTGTCGCGAAAACTCGCCTGCTATAAATATGGATTTGCCTGAGGTCACAATTAAATATGCGTTCTATTTGCTTTACAGGACATCCGTGTGGGCTTGGGACCTTCGCTCTATTCGTATTTTATTTATGTACTTGTGCGACACTGACCTGCGAACTTCCGTATACATACAATCTTGCGTAAGTTGGTGGGTACTGTTTCTTATGCAAAATAGTTTAATGTGCGAGACCTGTTTCTCATGTGAATAAGCTTTTAAATTTCCAGTGTTTTGGTGTTTAAAAAGTTAGTTTTAAATGAATTTGGGCTTGGTCAAACTTTGGTTTAAGCTTTGAGATGTATAAATAACGAGACAAAGAGTCATCAATGTAATCTATACCAAATATCTATCTGACTTTTTTACTATGATTTTGGATGTTTTTGTCACCGGTCCTATACATTGATTAATAGTCAAAAGCAATAAACTACACCACAATGTATATTCCAGACCGTTAATAAACTTCAGTCTAACTTCAACAGTCAACATTTTTTCATACTCAAGATAAGATACAAATTCCTATACTAACGTGCCTCAACGTAACCTCGTGTTGTATTGTAGGTAAGTATAATTTTATCTAACAAATATATAAATAGTAATACCTATTTCTATTGTCATATCATCTCCGTGTTATTTAATATCATAAAATCCGTTATGCAAATATTTTATGGATTTAATTGATAATCAAGAAATACGTAAACTTATCGACCTGTAATAGGTACTTAGTAAATAGCGTACGACATTTATTTAAGAATGCGATAAATCACTTATAGGCGTTGATTTAATTAAGATCGATTTATATCAACCGTAAAAGTAGTTTTCCTTATATTTATAAATAAAACTGTATTTTAGTCAGTGAAATTCTAAATCACCTAATAACATTTTAGTTATTAAAAACTTGGATGTTTTATGATTCAATGTTATTCAAATTTATACACAGTAGATTAGAATGGTAACCGTATAAGGTTATTAAGGCTACTTAAAAAAGGTATTTCAATAATAAAAATATTTTGTGGTTGATTCATGTCATGTAAGCAGTAAATATGAACCCCCTTATTGATAAAAAATAAATCTGTTTGGACTGATTTGATTTGGAGCAATTGATTGCTCCATTTTAACAAAAATCTGTTTTCAACACAGCTTAAATACAATTTGACAGAAAGAAATGAAAGAGTACTTTAGCTAAAAGAGTGAAATAAGCCTTATTTTTATGAATAAAGGGGGGGGGGCTTACCTTGTAATTAAAAAGTGAAATCCTCCTTTTTAAGAGAAGAAAGAAGATTATATTTTAAGAAAATTTTATTATAAATTCGCTTTTTATATACAAACTTATATGATTATATAGTTCATATAAACCAAAGACATTTTTAGGTTTCTTTACTAAAATAGAGTAACTTAACACAGACCCTAAGGATTATTAGATTATAGAGATCGAAATCAGCAAAGTTATCTTAGACTTCATTCAACGTCATATTCCACCATACGTCATTGTATTAAAACGATGCCTGAGCTGCGTAGGAGTTGGTAATAGTAATAAGGGCTCAGATAGTTATTTGTGCAATCTTCAATGTTGGTTTTAGATTGTTTGACGAGCTGAAATTGCGGTTACATAGCAACATAGCGTTTATCTTTTGCAAGTTAAATGTATGACCTGCTTTCGTTTAGCTTAATCATATTATTTTGTCTAATTGGTATTAAATTAAAGAAAAAACTTTTAACCGGATTAAAGTTATGTATTATTATAAATTTACAATTTTTTAACATAATTTTAAATTTACCCGACGTTTCGCGTGCTTTACAGCGTGCGTGGTCACGGTGACCACGTAAAATTATGTTAAATAATTGTAAATTTATAATAATACATAACTTTAATCCGGTTAAAAGTTTTTTCTTTAAATGTGTAAAGGTTATGTTAATCAAAGACAATACTATGGTATTAAATTAATACAGAAAAATATTTATCAAATATTGTATCGTTTTATTTTCTGTATGATACGTTCGTTACGTTACGTTACGTTATGTTATGTATCTATGTATACATAGATTACATATTATTTGGAATACGAAAGTGTTTTTGTATGGTAGGTATATTGATTTTTAGCGAAAGAGATTTTTAGTGAGAGAGTGAGGTTAAGTAAGATTTTCTTTTAAATATTTGAGTTGAACCTATCTCATTTTATAAATTTATTTTAGTAAGTACTATTAGTTGTACAATTTGTGATATTTGAAAATATTTTCTAACATAGAATTGCAAATTACCACTCTATAAAGATTAAAAGTTTGGTTATATCTATTACGTGCGCACTTGTACTTTGGCAACGATTTAATCGCTCACGTAGAGACGAGCGTGCACGCGAACTCACGCGCATTCGTCAAGTGCACTTTCTCTAGAACGTGAGGCAAAACGATAGATTAGCGTTGTTGACACATATTATTATAATCTATTGATGTTACGTGGGACAATTTCGGCTTTTAGAAAAAAGACAATACTCGATACACACACATGAACACAAAAGAAACTTTACATCTTATTTACTATGTATGTGGTGATAGAGAAAGAGAAAAGTAATGGTATACAAGTTTGAAATAGTAGTGAAAATTTAAGAAAGAAGAAATAGTATGACGCCCTATGCCGTATGTGTTCCTGTAAGCATTAACTTTAGCCATGGAAACTTTATAAAACAATGAAATTTAACTTTTCATAATCTTGTCATAGAAATGACAAGTGAAATGTGTTTAACAAAAAAATATTAACATAACTCCTACTGTTTATTTGGTAATCAAAAATCAAAATAAGTATTTTTAAATCTCCGATCAAATGTGGAAATAAAAAAATTGTTTTGCAAAACTCTGATTACGACACAATATTTCAAGGAAAGTGTTCATTAATCATTGAGGTATTCTAATTGCCAGTTATGTAGGCCACACACAAACAATTAATCACTGACTATTAGTTAAATGCTAAACATCAAACGGGAATCTAAGAGCCTTAGATTGACATAATGTCATCGGCTTAAGTTGATATTTAAGGATAAGTAGACTAGCCTTAATAAATCCTAGATTTTCTAGCTTTGTTTCATAAAGTACTGATTTTACGTAATATTTGATCTTTGAATGCTCTATTTATAACTCAAGTGTGGTAATCGGGACTTTATATCCAAGGTAATAAGACTTTTTGAAAACAAAATATTGTTCTTTATCCAGTTTTAGTTCCACAGATTAACAAAACATCTTTGTATATACACATATATAATATTTTGTATAATATCTCGTGGGTGATTTTACAATATTAAAACAGTTGTGGTTGGTTTCGTTTGTCTCTCTTGATAATGTATTTTGTCCCCTTGTGTGTTTTGTATTACCCAAATAATCAATAAGGTGTAAATAATTACGTCAAACCATCATCACATGACACGACAATCACCAACCAACACTGAAACTCTAAGTTAATGTAATAATTTCCTGCTATCTATCTTATTCAGCTCTCGCTTGGCCTTTAATAAAATATAATTGGATGGTTGAAAATATTGTAACAAATTGGTTTAATAGCTTCGTTTTGTTCCGATGAAACTGATAAGTGAACGGACTGTAACATTTGCAGTATTGTTTAAAGGGTAATAAAATAACGTGGGAATTCACTGTAATTATATTGATGTGCCTGAAATTTACCTTGTTCAGATTCCGTTGATGAGTCTTTTATTACGACATCAAAGTGTACCAAGTGTTTCTTATTCGAATCGAGAAGTCTCGTTTTTGAATCTCGCCCCGCATCCTACCCTAAGCCACACATTCTCATATTTCAGGATGAAGTTCTTAATGTTTTTGCTTAAGATAATGTAAACTATGAACACTCAGAACACTAACGTATGAACGTAACCCATTTGTATGTAAAGTTGAATCTAATACAAAAGGTTGTCAAACAATTGTTCTGTATATAACTTATCACATATTGAATCATTTCATAGTCATAAGAGAACTATGAGTATATGTGACCTCAGATAAGCGAAGCATACGAAATTTGGCAACTTTTTTTAAAAACAGGACTTTAAGTGCGTTTCTTTTGATTTAATATGTCATTAATATTTATTTATGTACCCTATAGTAAAGTAATTATATCTATAACTTACTTAGTCTATGCTTTGTCTGAGCCTCCTTACAGCAATCAGGATGTAAAAGGTGGTACCAGCTAACTCCATGCAGCGCGCTGCGGTCCCATCCCAGGTGCCATTCACTACTGGACAAACAACACACGAAATTTATTAACTTCTAAACTAGTATTTCTTCTATCAAAACCTAAATTTTATAAAGAAGACTACAGTTATAAGAAACTACTTTAATATTCATTCAGGTCTTACCCAAAAAATACCTTGAGACCCGCGCGAACCAATGTTAATAAAAAGTTCTATGACGTGTAACCATTTTTTTTCGATTGGAGTTAGTGGGTAACGCATGGCGTAAAGTACATTTGGCTAAGATCCTAGGCGACACATGACAGAGACAACAAATACTTAAAACTAATCATTCAAAATATTATATGTAGGTACTAAGCCACAAGAATTGTAATACCAATTAAAGAATGAATGCAAAAAATATGAATGAATAGAAAAATCCTATCGATTACAAAAGTCGGAACTAGTTTGTGCAACTGACAAGGCCCGTGTGATTGATTGATTCTTTGACCCGAAACGAATGTTTGTTTTATCGTGTCAAGTACACTTTAATTATATTTATCGTATTTAAGATTAAAAATTCGATTATAATGGCTTAAAACTTTCACGCGTCATGATATTATTGTTTCGCTTGGTCTAATAAACCTTTTTGTGTTTTATTTGAAACTATTTTGTGTCGGGTTCAAAGGAGGAGTTAAAAAAAATATAAGCATTGCAATTTTATTTAGTAGCCTTATAGTTGATCGGGTTGTCGGACCTACTTCTGTTCTCCCTATTCTCTCTCTCATATATAATTTATTCTTGGCATCTGGCTTTATAGAGTTATGGAATAAAGAGAGTACTTGTAATTTGTAAATTATAGTAATTGTAATTTTTTCGACAAGGCCACTCTCAAAAAGTCTCCATGCTCGAGTTAGGAGGATTTTTTACAGTACAATAAACCCTGTCAACTTTATTATCTTATAAAAAAATATTATGAGACTCTTTCGGTTAAGTATTGATGTTACAAAACTTCCGTAATAGATGAGTATGCACTTAGATCTTTTAATAAATAATAATTCTTTTATTGGCAGGACTTGACATTCAGATTGTCGACTGCTGTTTTCTGTATAATTACCTCAAGAGGCATTGTCGAAAGACAAATAAATCTTACAATATGTCGCATCCGTGACCTCAATGCATCGAATCCTCGAATGCAAATGTAAATATCGAAACAAAACACTACAATCAAATAGCAAATGATTAATTTTTATAAATGCAATGCCATTTTTTATTGAAGGAGCGCTTCAAATATAAAATTCATGAAATTTTCTCTTACCGAGAACTGATTAATAAAATAATTTTAACTTGATATGTTTACCTTTCACATAATAATCTAAATGTTGCTTATTAGAAGACTGAACTTTAAATAACTGAACTACTATTGGATCAATAAAAAAATAAAAACATAAAACAAAACACTTGGTACACCCAAAAAACTTGGCGATTAAAAAAGTGGCGGAGAGTTTATTGCCAGTTCTTCTCTTCCGTTCTACGTCGTTGATTTGACAACTGGCAGTAAATGTAAAATAAGAAGCATTTTGAGTACATTGTGTTACCTACATGAATAAATGATTTTTGACTTTGACTTTAACTTTGAATACTACGATTAATAATTAGTATGTATACGACATCTATTTATATTTTATATAAAAATATAGATTTTTGTTGTTTTTTGATGACCCTTTAATGAGGCATGGTATAAATATGGCATGGCATAGGAAAGTCTATGCCTGAAATATTTGTATTGCCAGGATTAAAAACCTAAGAGCACTCGGATCACTGTACGGATTTTACGGTAGCGTTAAAAATTGTGGACAATACACAAAAATAATTTTCAGTGTTATACCTAGTATAAATGAAATCAGAAGCTAATAAGCAATAAAATAACAATTTAATAAATTTATTTGTATATTTTCAATATTATTTGCTTAAACTTTAAAGGTGGTAAAGATAACGTTCTGATTTATTGTTGTAGTAGTCAATGGTTCACTAATTTCAATTTATAATTCAATAGGAGAGAATATTTTTACTATATTGTTTAGCCAATAAACGCAGTACAAAATAAAATGTATCAGCGTAATTTACTTACAGTACCCTCATTTCTTTGACTAAACACCGAAATAAACATCACCGAAATAAAGTAAGTGAAATGCCGTGTATCTTTTTATCAAAATCCAATGGGGAAAATTGGGGACGCTAGCACCACTTTTCCTCTGTGATGCCTGAGTCAGTCTGGATTGCTTTCAGTTTTAACGGCGTGACTCTGTAACGACGGCTGAAGAACGAAACTTAATATTATCACGTATAACGCGAAACTAGAATGCTCTTAACCAATCAGAATCGTACGGATTGCGCCATCGTTTCGATTAGCTTATCTGGAGGTTTTATATGGGGTGTTAAAGAGTGCTGGTAACCATATGGTAGAAAATGAATTAACGTTGGTTGGCTGAATAACGACCTCGACGATTTAGAAGCTATATGGTGAATATTTATAAACGCTGTAGTCAACACGAGCTACGCTGTATGCTGTATATAAAGCCATTGATAAAATTAGTGACAAATAAATAAATTAAGTAAAGCTAATATTATTTAGCATTAATTTTATACAATATTTTTTTTTAGCAAAATGCCCTTTTTATATTATATGTATTTATATTGAAGTATGATAGACATTTAAAGAACTTCACTGACCAAGAACATTAGGTAGAAATTGTTATTTATTGATCGATTCACCAGATCTAAATACGTCTAGATACCAGCTGTAATCGCTAGATCAAAACACAAATTTAAATTGTAAATTTAGCAATCGCTTCATCAATTATTTGGATAGATTTATACCCGATTCCTCTCTACTTGGCAATATACAGCTCATTTCGTATTCAACATTTGAATTAGCCATGCAATTTATAAGGGCGCGCGATAACATCCATGATGTACGGTTGTATAATTTGTTCCTTATTAATTATAGTAGGTCAAATTTGTACTAATGAGTTAACGTAATCAAGGCCTAGATTTTCGAATGAGTTCCTTTAAAAATAAATGATAGTAGTCTAGGAGAGTAATTTTTGATTTCTCTTGATATTACGAGTCTTTCGTAACTCCATCTTACACTTATATAAACCGGCATTTGTATGTAGTTGTTATTGTAATTTAAAAGAGTATTAAAAACTTTCAAAATGTTAATAAGTCGTACTCATAGTCGGAGAAGTGACAGTGAAATAAATGCGAATAGTTATTTCTTATATTTTAATAAATGTATTTACGAGGAGGACTTGTAAATGAAATATGGACATGACCGCTATGACGTACGCGCTGAATATACTTCAACAGTACTGCGAATATTATAAGGATTTCGCCACAATGAAGCACACTTAACCATATAAAAATGTTTTAATTTAAAGCCTTTACTGAACGGAACTTCCAATTTCATTCATCATGTATCTCCGAACACGCAGGCAGTACGAATAATATAATGTTTGGGGAATAAATTTAAAAAAAAATGGGTAAGTTGAAAATACTATTAAAAGAATTATGCTGCTTCATCAATCATATTGGTTTTGGTTTTCATTAAATAATAGCGCTCATTTATATGTTTTGATGATATTAATAATTTATATATTAAACAAGAAAATTCTATAAAATTTTGTTACCAATAATTGAAAATATAGTCACTTTCTTTCACTAATCAAAGACTTTCAATGATTACGCAAGAAATAAGCAGTGATTTCCATTAAAAAAGATAATTTAATTAATTAAAAATAAAATGGGGAAATACAATTAGAAAGTTAGTTAAAAAGTATGAATTGTAATAACAAAGACGGTCGCAATAAATATCGAAGATATTACTAATGCTATTTTGCCCTTTCTGCTTAGTAAACAATAAATCAACGTAAACACTGATATCTAAGCCTAAAATGCTAATCCACACCGGTGTGCGCACGGCCTATATTTCTAAAGACACTCGAGAGCTTGTATGCCTGTCATTGTATGCAAAGTTTGCTCGCTTCTGAGCAGGTGACGAGTGCGTCTTTCAAAACAAACATAAGAACTTATTATTAAATACAATATCTTATCTAAATAATGATTTTGAATGCTGTATTATTAAAACTTGTTTGTTAGAATGTTACTTTGTTAAAATAATTACTGACGTTAAAACTTTTCCTTTTTAAGACTATTTTAAATGCGATGGTAAATTGGAATTAACATATACAGTATATAATAATAAGCCAAGTGGCTTAACAATCACTTTGATTTCATAGACAAGTAAGTGATCAGATTTCTGTCTGACAAATATAGATTTTTGGATTTGATATGCGCCAGCTTCGGTGGTAGATGCAAACGCAAACAGACATAAAGTCCATTGGTGCAAATCCGGGCATCGAATAAAAAAACAATATTCAAAGGGAAGAAAATTATGCCAATATTTTATACACAAAATATTCCATCAAACTTGTAGACCTTTAAAGGGTATTTAAATACATCTCCTTACAATGATTCAACATGACATATGCGATCTCCGAGTGAGTAGTGACGAAGCCATCGGACCACTGTATTACCATTGCATTATCACAACTCCTCTTATTATTTCGTGCCATTGAGAACAGTACATGAATATGAAACACCTCAATAGAGACGTCATACATCTGCAATGATGGACAGTAGTCGCTATGCCCGGATAGTACAAGATACAATCCATAGAAGTTTATTTGAAGAAATAAAAGATAATTTGCACTAAGATTTTAGTATGACTAACCGTTGATTGAACAAAATATTAATTTGCCTTAAGTATAATATTTAACCATGTTCAATTTGTGCTTTTTTGTGGGTTACATACAGTTAAGTATAACTTCACATATATGTACGTAATTTGTTTATATTTCTCGCGGAAACTTATAACAATACCAAAATATAGTGTATTTTCGTTTCTAAAATCTATAATTTCTAAACATTGTTGGCAAATAAACAATATTGTTTTCTAAGTATAGACTTGAGTATGTAACTAGGAAACATACGCTTCTCTTTTCCTGCTCCGCCCTTGGTCTTTTGTTACTCCATGGCCGTCTTTTCATATATGACCTTAATATCATTACGATTAAACGATATCATCAAAAACAAGGTTATTAGGCTTTCAAGATGCTTATAACTCAAGATTAGCGTACACTACTTGAGTGGTTTGTAATTGTAAAAATATACTCAAGGTAATTGTTTAATAACAGATTGTACGTAGCAAAGTTCATTGTTCTGATTTCTGTGTAAACTTTTTATAAATTAATTTAAAATAATACATAAATAGTACTGAGAGTGGTACTTTAAGTAGAAAATAGTAGAATAATTAAGTGTTAACTTAAAGCACTTAGAAAATATTTAAATATGTTCTCCATTCATCCAATCATATGCCCAAAGGTTTTTCACTGTTAGCCTTAAAATCATTACAATAGATTAAGAACAAGACTTAAGAGATTATTTATTTCTTGGTTCGCATTGGTTTATTTAAACCTTTGTTTGATTTATAATAAAAAAAATTGTGTCACTTAATTTGGTATAAATGGGTAGAACTTACTTGGTATCGATATGCAGTATCTTCATGTCCATGGCGTGCACAGTGGTGAAGACGTTGGTGGCGCCGTGGACTACGCACTCGCGCGTCTCCGGCATCGCTAGCGGCGTGCACGACGCTAGGAACACGGGCTCGTTGCGACTGCATAGCGGTAGGTAAGATACGTAGTGGCCGCGGACTAGAACTACCTAAGAAAGGAGATCTCATTTAAGTGAAACATCTTTAAAATAATAATAATTTACTACATCCCTTTTTATAGATTCCTCATAAGTGCTGCATCTGTTTTATGGATCTGATGTATTAGCCATACATGTGGTCGGTATTTAATATACGTTAGCCTAGTATCTCCGGCTTTATCAAGCTGTTTTCCTTCGCAGTACGAGCGAGTATTAATTACGCACATAGAAAGGGAAATCGGGGACCGAACCCACGATTGTCAGGCTTTACACACAAACAGGCACATTTTATGTTTTACCGATCATATAAGTCATTCCAGTGCCCGGATGCGCATGGCTAATCCTTAACGATTATTGCATCTCCGGAAATCAAAGTGAAAACCTAATTTTTATAATAAAACAAATACCTTCCTAATAAAAAGGTCTTTATATTTGGCAATTCTATATGTTTAATCCATTTCTTAATGATTACATATACAGATTTGCCAATTATTAGAGCTTCAGTAGCTAACGATGTCCCATACAATTGAACCACGTATAAATAATGGTAGTATTTTTTAGGAACATACTAAATAGTACGTCCGGATATATCAAAGCGAATTAAATAGAGTAACAGACACATTGCATAACTGCCGAAGGTCACCCGTGTCGAATGGTATTTCTATTAACCGGCGTTCAACTCTAACCTAAAATTGACATCAAAGGGCGTGGCGCTTTGACATTCTTCAAAGTTTTAACAACAATGGAGAGATAAGAGACAATAGTTCACAGATCAACCGCTCACTGAGGTAATCGTCTGCACATGGCCTTGGTATATATTTCACGATAAACAATTTTTATATTCATACAATTGTAGAGCGGCTGTTGTTTTTACCAAATACACTATGAACACATAACATTTATTTACTTTATTTATTATTATTATATTCTTAGTTTATAAAAAAGGCATTTATAGTAGTATTGTGGCAACACATACAAACCATAGTTTTTCTGTCCACAAATTTACAAGTACATTATAACCAAGCCATTGAGAACACAAATTGAAAAATGTGTCAACCCGTGGTTCGATGGGTTTTAAGGTACGCGAAACGTTATAACAATATAAAGATATTTTATCAAAATTGAATAATCGTAACATATTTCTGCCCAATACTCAGTAATATACGATTTTCCTCCTATTTAATATAGCAACTTACACAAGAACAATAAATCATGATTAAACTTGGTAATAAATGGTGTTAAATTATATGTTAAGTGATTTTGGTTTCAGAAATATGATTTAGAACATTTTGTGGCATGAATGGTTTACAAATGGGATAAGTTTAGAATTTGATTTCCATTATTTTATTTCACACATTAGCAAAATCTATGAATTTTAATGGTTTAATCCTACCGACTTGCGGGATGCTTATGATATTATCGTTAAATATTTTTACTATATTGTCGTTGCATGTACTGAATTAGAAATTCGAGCAGCGTTGGCCTAGTGGCATTAGCGTGCGGCTCTCATTCCTGAGTTCGTAGATTCGAATCCGGCTGTGCACCAATAGAATTTTGTCTATGGACGCATTTAGTAGGCACTCTTAAGGTGTCGGAAACCACCATAACATGGCCCATAATTCAATCGCGTGCGTTACGCACAGAATCCTGATCACACTTGTTTATTAGGAAAAACAAATGATCACGAAACAGATACATCAATCTACAGAGCTAAAAGGTGTACCTTACTGTTTGGATTTTTTATGCTCTAAATAAATATATTGGAAGACAATTCCCTTTAAATATAAAAGGGATATAAACGTCTTCACATATCTCGACGCGTCAGTTTAATAAGACGTCGAAATAAGTTTTGCGTTAACCAAAACAAATATAATAACTTATAAAAAAGTCGTTTGGGAACTATAAAATACCTCTTAGTACACTTACATCATTTGAATAACACCAATCTACTGTTCGCCAAGTCGAATATGGTTTATAAAAAGTATTATAAAAACTGTACGAGTCATGTAATTACAATCATTAACACTCAATAGCAGATATTGTGTCTAGATTATCTTTACAAAGTTTGCGTCAACGCTGCCCGCCTACAACCGAAACCGGATACAAATCAAACGTCGACTAATAGTAATTATTAAGTACACATTAATTATTATTGTAACTGTTATTAATTGATACAAATAAAAACAATTGTACATAATGTTGAGCAATTATTTCGAAAATGTGGCGGCGGTGAAACATTTATTTTATACTAATAAGTCGACAGCTATAACTACATCCAACTTAAATATTTCTAAAACATTATGATACGTTTAAATTACAGCTGTTTCACTTTAAACAGGCTTCTGTAGGTGAGACCTATTAAAGTCAAGATCCATAAATCCCTTTTATACAAAATCACGGTACATATTTTCGCATTTGTAAAATGTTTTCTACTATATCATTTTACAGTGCAAGGGTGACTATCTATTATATATCTATCTATCCACATTGTGCGTAGTTGAAGTTTAAGCCATGTTATATATACCGCCTTTGTGGCTCAGTGAATAACGCAAACGGCCGTCCTGTATTCAATTGCTTGATTAAAAATTGTTTCGCAAAAATTTACACGGAAGCTTGATTTCAGTATTTTAAATAAATGTCTGCTCATGGACTTTAATGTAACAAAGGTTTCAGTATCATTTGTTTCTATAACATTAAACTTTAATGATTGCGTCAAGTTCTAGCTCTAGACAATACACAGCTTTCTACCAAATGTGTCGTGACCAGAATGACCTGCGACTGACCGATTGATACCGATATGTTATTTTAGTTTAAGGTGACTCTGTGCATATTTTGTCTATGAAAACATTTAAAAACATGACATTAATGATGTATCCATAGAGCGTATAGTTTATAAGATTAATGATATATAGATATGGCAAATAAGTTTATGAATGGTATTTTGGTACAAAAAACGACCATTCTTTTGCATAACAAGTAAAGGATTTTTGCTCCTTCACATAAGATATTAAATGCGTAAATTGAGAAACTTATCAAGATTTGAGCGTATAAAAATGCAATGGCAAGGTGTTGTATATCTATGTAAATGTTGCTATATTTATCTCAAGAAATATGAATAATAAATGCACTTGTAAATAGCGAAAGCATAAGCAAAGTGATTTACGTATCAATGCTAAAACAATAAAATATAACTTTGAATAATTTAAAAGTGTGGTCAAAAGAGTCACGCCTGCAAGTCACGAGTCGTTACGTCAATTATTTTTATAAGATCCTCCGAGTATATAACGGTAGATAGGTTTTAGAAATATAAAGGACAAGGTTAGTATTTAAAAAAATATTATGTTCGTTGAAAAACTCAAACCTTACGTCGCAAGTCGTTGATTTTTATTGCATATTCAAGATTTAACGTATTATATATAACAAAACCAATTTTTTTAAATCTATTTAGGAATATCGTACAGTTATAAGAGCTTCTAAATCTTAAAACGTAGAATTTTTAAATAAGCTATCAATGAGATGTAATTAATAGGAAGAAATATTGAAGATATGCACTAACATAACCATTAAAGTGTCACTTTTATCATAAATTATATTTAAAAATAAAAATGCTTATATTATTAAAATAAGAAATATTTGAACTCAATTTTATTAAAGGTTATAGTTTTTTTTAGCAAGAAAATATTTCAGGGCTTGAAATTCTTCACCGTAGTTCGTGTTGTCTGTGTGAATTCGGGCAGGCTGCGCACGCGTCGCACGCAGCTGAGTCATTGCTCGTCACGATGTTAATATACTGTGAACTGCCCACTGACTAAGGGTGAACGTCCGGTCTAGTTTGCAACACTTTAATTTTAAATTTATTCCTTATAAGATCTTTCAATAATTAATTAATAATAATAATATCGCCAGTTCCCGAACAAAACTTATCAGGAAGATCGGCGCCTAATTCCGTAAGAACATAATTTAATACCCAACAACAATATTATATGAAGTATCCAAGAACGTCTCGGTTATAAATATAAACATATTGAAAAATAAACGCATTGCAACACATTCTCAATATGTTTAAATATGCAAATAATACATCTTAATATAGAGTACGGAGGCTCGCAGTTTTGTTATTACAAACAGTTAAATTTACATTTCATAAATAAATGCATCTCTTGCTTGCTAACGACGCAACTCTGTTTTTGCCTTAATTTAAATAGCCTGGCACGCTTCGACGTGTGAACTTGGCTTTTCAATATCGGATACCTCACTTCGAGGCATTCGGAACGAATTGTTACTTTACGGTTTCGAAGTGAGATGTTTTGTTAAGGCGATGTTTGATATAAAACGCTATTTGACGCCAAGCTTTTATACCTAAAATAACATTTTGTAAGCTTATTTATTGTATAATAAAGTTTGTTTTTTCTTTTATAGAAGAGAAAGCAAATGGGCAGTTGAAGCACCTCATGTGAAGTGATAGCACTGCCCATGGATACTCGGAAGTGCGTTGCTGACACTTTAAGAATTGCTACTGTGTTTTCAAGAAGAACCCAAAGTGGGATTAATTCGCATATATTTATAAAAACGATGGCAGCTGGTACCACATAGTGGTGGCGAGTGTCAAAAAAAGGTTGATAACATATGAAAAAAATACCTAGGCCTAGAAACTGGGATGTTAGTACAAATAATATAGATATATATTGCGAAACACCCTTCTTCGTAATTACTCCGAGATCTATAAACGTTACTATTTAATTAATCTTATTAGCTTACCATTTAGTAATGAGTTTTAGATGTTTACGATGATCATACTGGCTTTAATAGTTATTACTAGTATTACAACTAGCTTACTCGACTGTAAACTATCTAGCAAATCTAAATGTTGTAATTATGATTTCATAACGTACAAATTTCTCAATTAACTTAATTATAAGTTTATTTTAAACTCATAATTCGTGAATTAAGTAACACATACCATAATTTAATTATGTTTCGTTAAACGCCATATAAGACAAACCCAACAAAGACAAAATCAAAACCAACTGCATAATATTGTAATAATAAATATATAGTTTATTTATTGGTAGTGCCACGGAATATATAATGCGAGGAAGCCATGGATGACGTAAAAGTTACAAAAACTTCGGGTTGTTGGCAGTCAGTTAAACCAGACAATTAAAGTAAGCTTTAAGTTTACTTTCATTGTCTTTGGTTGAACATACACTATACCGTCCATGGATGTAAGTTTGATGAATAGTAAAAATGGAAGAAGACAACACAAAATCGATCCAAATGTAAATCGCGAATCGAAACGCGCATCTCCATAAATTAAAATAATCGTAATTTCACTTTCACAAGTGTTAATCTACCCTACAATTACGATTAATTATATCATTGAGATCCACATTCGGGTTTATTACATAAATAGCTTTCAAATCGTAGCTAATTACATATCAATACGTGTATTGATCGGAGACATATCATTTGAAGTTCTCACGATTATAAAAATTGCTCATTACATACACTCTTGAACCGCACGTACCTATATTAATTCAAATAATGACCGATTTCGTCACTAGAAAACACCGAATATATATAATTAGAGGCATCTATACTATTCTTTAATTACGAAGGTCGATTTGAAGGTGAGATTGTGAAATTTTATTTTGTTTAACCGTGTATGATTTTATTGGATATGACGAGTAATGCAATCGAAGATGTATACATCAAGACGTAATAAGCTAAGCGTAAAGAGAATGACGCATAGATGCAAGAGTTAAGCTGTACAAGATATACTTGCCCCCTTTCATTAAAATAAAGTCTGACACTGTTTAATAATGATATTTTAATACAGGTAAATGCTTATCTTCCAAGATTCTCGATGAAACAATACTTATTTTAGCCTTTAGGTTCTTCTTCTTCAGTCGCACTCTTCATTTCAGACAGTCGTTTTAGTGGCGTCGCATAACTACCTCCACTCTCCCCTGTCTTCGGCATGCCATAATTTTTTTTTTTTTTTTTTAAAGACAATTCACACCAATTGACCGAGTCCCATGCTAAGCTGGTGAAGCTTGTGTTATGGGTACTAGGCAACGGATATACATACATATTATAGATAGATAGACATATAAATATATATTTAAACACCCAAGACCTAAGCACAACACCAAATGCTCATCACATCGATGTTCGTCTCAGCCGGGGATCGAACCCGGGACCCTTGGATTCGCAGTCATGGGTACTAACCACTAGACCAATGAGTCGTCGTAATGATGGTAAGATCTCTAAGGGACTTCACTCGATCGGTCTAGCGAGTAGGGGACTGGCCTCGAGGTCTGATGCTCTCCACTCTGCCCAATTTCCTAGACTTTCTGGATCTCTGCGTGTTACATGTCCAATTAACTCAGGATGCGTTGGTAATAAAGTGTCGAAAGATGATTTTTTACCTATTAACGTCTTAGTTTAGACACGTTTGTTTCCTTGGCTGTCCAGGGAATCCTAAGCATCAGCCTCTAACACTACATTTTCAGAGCATTTATCCTTTCATTTGTCCGTATTCTCCAGGATGCAGTGCTATTTTATGTTGGATACCTTAAATGTCTTTTATGGAGTAGAATAAGGCCATACAGTAGTATCAGCAACATAAGACTTCTTCTTTTGAGCAAAATGTTTAACATACGTAGCATAGTATCGTATTATGTATTTCATACAAATAAAATACAATAGATACATAAACGTTAGCTATACAGTAAAGTATTGCATAGTAATGTTTTGCTCAGAGATCCGAGCCGTTATTATAATGTGGAATAAGATTAGTATATTGAACGAAACTGTATGGATAGCAACGGAAATTAGAACGATATGTTTTATTATCAATGCGTATTTCTTGTAATATTGTTTCTGTTAAAGTTAACGTTAACAGTATATTAACTTACATAATTCATAAATATATAACTGTTAATCTGTAATTTCAATCATATTTCAAATTCAGGGGTTCTAATTCAGTCTATACAAAAGTTTGGGTAGAAGATTCGTAAGGTTAAGAATATGTGGTTCCTGTAGAGAAAAGTGTTTTATTACTCGATATATGGCTTTTAAAACTAAACGGTCTAAGTTGTATGTTTTACTTAGAAAGTTATGTGCAATAGATATGATTTTATGACTATCGTACATTATTTTTTCTTACTTTATTAAAACACCGCTAGTTCAAAAAGTCAATACCAAAATCATTCAATTACCAATCGGTACTATCTGATTTAATTAAAAAAAGTCTATTTTGTCTTGTCCGCTTGCTCGTTTCAATCTCAAATTTCGATAAGAGATATTGTATTGTCATGCTGACTGTACATTCGAAGCAGTTGCACAAGTTTCTTTTGTCATTGTATAATGATGGTTAGCGATGTTTTGTGTGTTGGAATGTACTTCGATTAGACTTGTGTGCCATACAGAAATGGATCATTCTTTTACTAATAACCAATGATATATTACAGCTATATTTTAACTCTTAAGAGATGGTATTAAAGTGTACAGTCGGTTGCATAATTGTTAATGAGTGCAAATGAAATCAGATTTTCTGATACTGTGATCGATGGCTACACTAACGTGGGTTTTTTGGTTGGTAATTGATTTAAAGGTGTCATTTGATGGATTATCGTGATTAGGTAAGTCTTCATAATTCGGTGTCATTGTAATGTACGGCTTAATTTATAAACGGCACTTTAAGATAGACATTGAATCGTGCTTTATTTTTATTGAGACAAGTTTCATAAGTATTTCTTTAACGAAAAAGGTTTCGTACATATGACATTTCTCGTGTCATAGTATTGAAAAGATTTAATATTATCAAATTTGTGAATTTAACAAAATAATTAATGGAATTTGTAGTTCTCGTTATTCCGTTGTTACTCACGACGTCATTTTCTGTTATGGATATGAATAACTCAGAATTTTCATTTATCGCCAAATCTTTATCGGAAGCCGAATGTTTACAACTGGTACCATCTTTATACACAAACACGTATGAGTTCCCTAAAACCAAAATAATACAAACCAAAAAGCCTTGTCTCCAGCTCTTACTAGAATGGAGTAATGAAAAAGATAGCTTGAGCAAAACACACGAATTCCTAGCGCATCGCCTGCGTCAAATTGGCAGAAAGGATTTAGCGAAATGGCTTGGCGGAGTTGTTTTCTATCGCCTTGCTAAAGACGTTAATGATACATTACTACAAAAACCATTTAGAGAGAACATAACTCAATGTACTCATAACGATAATAAAGATAATGATGACATAAACGACGGTGCTTGGAATAGTTTAGACTCTGTGTTATGTGCGGTCTTCATAGTGCTTGCTGCAAGTTTGTTAGTAATATGTTGTAGGACTTTTTGGTTGTTTATACTGACTGAGACTAAAGTAATAAATGAAGAAAATAATTTGGTAGAACGGAATGTTGACAGCGAAGACTATTAATTACATGAACCAAAGTTTGTGGACAATATGCTGAAAAATATACTGTAGTAACACCTGAATACTGGCGTATCCTTCATTGTTATAGATTCCCTATTATTAGCAAACATGACAGTCCCATGACTCTATTGGAGTAGCCTATTGCATAACCTCTTGAAGGATAATAATGACACAACTAAGTAGATGAATATAAATATAATAGCAATAATCGTCAGATAGAGCTCAAAATAAACTCGTAAATACATTTTGTCATACAAAAGAAACATTCGAATTACAAAATAAAAGGAACACAAGGCAGTCGTCCCAAACGTCCACTAACAAGCCAGCTAGGCTTACCATCGCCAGTGTCATCTGTAGATAAGCCTCATTAGTGACTTTAACTTCATCAGCTGATACAAGTAAATGCTTAAGCTAATAGCACTCTTTAACTGTACATGTTTAATGCTAACTTGTACGGTCCCCTATCAGTAGTGGTTTATTGTTGTGATGACATTGTGACCTAACATAAGTCAGAATGACGCTGCTGTTACTACAAATACGGATAACAATTGCAAGGTGTTAAACAAGTTTAAATCTTTTTTCAAGTTCATAAGTTTTTAGGTTCCCTTTTATAGGTTTGCGTCTAAAGCGGTAAATCTAAAATAAAAGAAATTGTATTATGAAGGTCTATATACTGGTAAGTCTTGCTAAAGTTTGCTTTTTCAAAATCTTCAATATTTCTTTGAGAAAAAATAGTCAATGTTACCTTCTATCGTATAAAAAATAGTCTATGAATCTTCCAGTTTATGCTTACTATTAAAAACAAAGCACCTAATTTAGCAAACTTTAGTCACATTCAGAAAATTCATTATTAAGTGCCATAATAGACGGTGCTTAAACAAACTATCCTTATGATGTATTGCAAATATACTTGCTCATAGCAAATATTGCGAGAGTCTTTGAAGCACGTGCAATAAAATTAATTGCTTACTTTACCAGCGGAGATGGCTGGTGTTTGTCAAACGCTTGCTTTACAGAAGATATATTGACCCACAAGCAGTTATTGTACACATTTAACCAAGGACCGTTTCCTTAATATCTGTTTAAAAGAATTTATTTAAAAGATAAACAAAAGAGACATTAATACATTATTGTTTTTTTATTTTTTTCCTATTCTATCGAATTAGTGTTAAGCTGTAATGGTAAAAAATAAGTTGAAAATAAATAAATGATATATATATTTAGGTGAATATTTACTAACAATACGAATAAATTTTTCGATTATTATATTTAATTGACATTAATGGTGATATTTTTTTTATGGGGCAAGAGCGTGCAGCGGGTGCTTTGAATAAAGTGATAACCGCCGCCTATGGACACCTGCAACGCCAGGGGCTAGCGGGTGTGTTACCGACCTTTCAAGGAATGGTTCTTGAAGCCCCTAACCGTATCGGTTTGGATATACCTCTACTGGTTCCATAAAGAGGTGATGCGGGGCAGACAGTGCTTAAAAAGCGCTGTGTTGTTGAACGCCAGGAATTGCTTTTATTATTAAGTAACCTACATATTTTAAACGTCACTAAAAATAAAGTCTTTACTGAGAAAATATATTATTCTATATTAAATTTTAGGTAGCTAAAACATTGTTTTTTTTAAATTAACCACAACAATTAATAATGATTATTATGAATATAACTTAAAAATATATATTCGTTAGTTGTAATTTGATATCTGATTTTTATAGACATTAATTACTGTTGTTAATAGAGTTCGTTTAGTATTAGTACAAATAGTTCTTTTGTTTTGCTAGGTAATGTGACGGACGTTTAAAATTTTCAAATATATAATCACACATAAAAATTTAAATTACTAAGGTCATAGACAGCCGAAGTGTTGCTAGCGCCATCTATTCGCTGATAATTACTTACAACGTGTATTTTTATATTCCCAACTTTCATACCGTGTTATATAAGCAAAGTTTTATTGAAGTTCTATATTACAAGTGATTGAAATAAGTTACCGATAATTGATAGTTTGGACATGTGTTCGCACGATTATTTTTACGAGCACTTAAATGTTATGAAAGTTGTTTATTGAGACCCATCACCATTGAATTATGAAATAAATTACTTATATCGATGTTTGATGGTTTTGGTTGGCTATAATTACGTAAATATTTGATTGGATAAATATGAACGCTATAATGAATTTGGCATGGGTACTTTGCTTCTCACATAAAAAC